GTAATTTCATCCTTACAAAATGCTATGGCTTCGGGTTGCTTGCTTGGAGGGAAAGCCGCTTCAAATGCATCTTTTGCTGCAAATGCAGCTGGTGTGTAAGTATCACACTGAGCCATTAGCCAATAACCCATTAAACTTTTTAAATAGGGAGCCAAGTGTTTCTTTACTTTAAGGATAAGTTTTTCAAAAGCTTGCTGTGTGGCTTCTCGAACCCGGCGGTCATGATCCTATTGAAAAGATAAATGTGATTTAAAATAGCTCTAGCCCCTAAAAACAAACACAGACATTTCTAGATACGCTATAATGACCCATTACTAAGAATTCACCTATATACACAACTAAACTAATTTTTTTAAAAATATCAAAAATTTGGGGTTTTCTAAATCAGAAATTATGTGAAATAATGGCTTAATTTTTCCTTTTCCCCTTTTCCGTATGAGATAAGGCTGTATTCAAGAAAGATTCAAGGCTGAGCCGTGAGTAATTAAGCAATTCACTCTCATTCTTCTGCAGCAAATATACAAGGGAATAATACAATTGCCAAAATTCATTACAACTGGAAAGCATCTGGGTAATTCTCTAGTAATAACCTAATTTCTGAAAACACAGACTTCTTACACACTCTTCACAACTCAATACGATCCAATCTGCATGACAACATTACCATAACACTTCATAACTCTCACGAAAAATCCATCATATAAATTTAACAGTCCCCACAAAAGCCAAAAAATATACAACAGAAACCAACCAGTAAAGTTTTAATACTTACAAGTGAAATTTTGCAGAAAATTCTTGGCCAATATGGCAGAACTCCTTTTACAATTTCTGTGTCTCTCTCTGTACACATGGTTCCAAATTCCTGCATTGCCTAAAAGTAAATTAACATCATTAAGGATTAACAACCAAAATACTGGCTATTGATTATATTTATTCTGTTCTGGAAGCTTCTATTTTATTTAACGGGAGAATATATCTGTTTGTTCCACATGGGACTAGTTTGCAGAGTTCCTTTACAGGCTAGTATGGTAGAAACTTTTCAGCTGTTTTTTAAAAAATAAAATACATACAAACAACAACAAAGAACTCATTTAAAATTATAGGGTCAAGGCCAGGCACAGTGGCTCATGCCTGTAATCTTAGCACTTTAGGGGGCCAAGGTGGGAGAATTGCTCGAGGCCAGGAGTTCAAGACCAGCTTGAGCAAGAGCGAGACCTCCTCAACTTCTACAAAAAATAGAAAAATTAGCCGGGCATGGTGCTGTATGCCTGTAGTCCTAGCTACTTGGGAGGCTGAGGCAGATGGATGGCTAAAACCCAGGAGTTTGAGTTACAGTGAGCTATGATGACACCACTGCACTCTAGTCCAGGCAATAGAGCAGGACTCTGTCTCAGATAAACAAATTTAATTAAATTATAGGGTCAAAATTATATTTCCTAATGGGAAAAACTGTATAGCTAAAATTCCAAAGTGGTTCAAAAACGTTTAGAGCAACAAACTAATTTATGACCCAGAAGATAAGTGTCGATTAAGCTTAAGTCTGTGTCAGAAAAAGTATAATTATAAAAAAACTTATTAGTGATAAATTGTTGTTCATTTTTCTTTACATAGAATATGCTAATGACATTTTATTTTAACAAAAGGATTTTTCTAATCATTTTTAAGAAAAAAAGAAAACTTGCTTTTAATTTTGTTGTGACATCTTTCTTAGAAAGCTTCCGTAGCACCATCCGGAAATCAGAATCTACAAGACTGTCAATTTCTTCAGCTCCTTGAATAGCAGGAACATAGCCTAGGTCACTCTGAGATGTTCCAAAACCAATAAATCCAGGCACTGTTCCCTGTTCTTTGGCAAGGAGTTCTGCAGCTCGACCACTATTTGAAGGCTGGTAAGAAAGTCAGGGAGAAAAAAAGTCAGAGTCCAGAAAGAATTCAAAATTTAACTTTATAATTCCTTTACAATTCCCATGGTCAGTACAAGCTTTTATTTGAGTACTTTTTCATTTTTCCTAGCCTATGATTTCAACTATTGCAATGTTTCCCAAAGATGAATGTTTCTGTCACCAAGAACCTACCAATAATGATCCTACAAACTATTTCCTGGTTTCCTAAACATTAGAACAATGTTTTTTAAACTGTGGATACAATCCATTCGTGTGGTTCATGATATCACTATAATAGGCCATGACAAAATTTTAATGAAATAGAATAAAATTTTAAATACCAGGCCGGGCGCGGTGGCTCACGCCTGTAATCCTAGCACTCTGGGAAGCTGAGGCAGGCAGATTGTTTGAGCTCAGGAGTTCGAGACTAGCCTGAGCAAGAGGGAGACCCCGTCTATACTAAAAAA